CTTGATAGGTGATACGGTTTGATTCGGTTTTGTAGTATTGTTAGCTGGCATAATGAGTTTATATTATCTGAGTCCAAAGGTCACCGTGCCCGACGGTGCCTTTGGAAATGTTAAATTTGTTAAATTAATTTATATAATATTATAATAATTAATTAATAAGTAATAATAATAATTGAGAAATTACTATAATTCTTCAGAAGGAAGGCAAAAAGTCGACTGGAGAACACTGAATCCTTGCGCTGTCTTTAAAAATGCGTCGATAGGTATGACACTCGATAAATTCTGTTAAGATTAGACACACTAAAACTGAGCATTTCACGAGAACAACAGTAACGCGTGCGCATTGTACGCTGGTTGCGCGAGGAATGAAAAAGTTAATTAAAATATTTAAAATATTAAAAAATTTGAAAAAAAACTATCCTATATTTTAAGTTGGACCAAATTACACACGGTGTAAAAAATTTCATCAAAATCGGTCCAGTAGTTTCGGAGATTATCGCGAACATACATCGTGACACGAAATTTTTATATATACAGATATATAACAAAGAAGACTTTAATATTGCTATAATAATGTAATAGTTATAATATTTTTAATTATAAAAACATTAATTTAATTGATTTTGTTAAAACACTTAATAAGTACTCAATAAGTAATACAACTTATAATTATTATTGAAAGGATGTACAGAATGTAGCCTTTATATAGCCTTAATAATTTATATTATGGTAACTTAGAAAAGGTACTCCTCTAAGTTTTAGACAAGATAGTGTAATATTTTACTTGCAATGTTTCTTAACCATATCTGCTTAGAGATTCCAGTACCACCTATGTCAATAAACAGTTATTGTGTAGAGTACCACAATAGTTTTGCTTTCACAGAATAAAAATTTATTTTATTTTTTTATTTTTATATGAAATTTACAATTTATACTTAATAACACAATAAGTAAATGTGATAAAAAATTAAATATAATAAACATTGACATTGAAAAATATTATATCCAATTATTTAACGTCAGAATAACCTATAATATATGTATTAAGCCTGTAAATTGTAGTTTGTTCTCATGATAGATTATTTAGTATTTTATATTTATTAATAGGTGATTTTATTTTAAGCAATAAAAGGCTGTAAAAAGACTGCAGAGTTATAATAATGTTGGAAGTCCAAGTAAATGTTACTGGGTACTAGTTGGTTGCAAGAGGAAGGAATATATCATACAGTGGCGTATATAGGGGGGTGCATAGTGGGATACAGCCCCCCCCCCCGAAATATTTCAAAAAACTTAAAATTAATTTATACGTTTGTTATATTTTATTGGTGCTTTATGCTTATTTAGAAATAATTTAATAAAAAAATTAAAAAATTATTTTAACTGGGTTTCATTTATTTAATTTAATTGTACTTCAATAGTTCATTTAAATGCTTTAAGGTTTTCAATTTATGGTTCAATGCTTATTATTAAGAGTTAACCTAATAAATAAATAAATTATAATTGTATACCTAATACGAGTACATTTTATTCATAGCATATTTTATTATAGAAATAGTCCAGTAGACATATATATATATAGGTATATATATTAAATAGTCAAGTACCACATTTTATATCCTTTATTCATAAACATAGGATTATACTTACTATAGGAAATACGTAAATAATGTTATCAGTTGATACAATTTTTATTGCCTTTGTCAAATAGTTTTGGGACATTCTGTAAATGAAATGTAGATAAATACCTACTGTATCTTGTTAGTAATTCTTAGATAGCAATGGCGATTTAACTCTGTCCATAGTAGCTCCTCCCGAAAATATTTTCTGTATACGCCACTGTCTCAAAGCATATTTTGTCAATTTTAAGTGCATAAATGCATGCTTATTTAGGCTTTTTTTAGACATGAACTTACGAACCCTGGTTATTAGTTTCTATTCAGTGCCTGTACTCTGTAGTCTGTTCGTTACTCAACCATTTTAACAGTTTAATTTAAAAGTTATTTATTCAATATGAACTCAGAATGCTTAATAGATGGAATTGAAGTTATTAATTATTAATGATTACATTTATGTTTTTTAAATAGTAGTGGGTGATTGACTTAGGTATACTCAGGGCCGTATTTAGGGGGGAGCTACAGGATGCTGTTGCCCCGGGCGGTTGAATATGAGAGGGCGGCTAAATTTTTATATTTTCAATATTTAATGATATAATATTTTTGAAGTGAAACCTCTTTACAAAATAAAAAATGTATCTCAAAAAAAAATATACATATATCGCCAATCACGGCGTTATGACACACACACACACACACATACTCGGTAACGGCCGAATGCTGTCGATTGATCCAAAGATTTAAAATCTATCCTTATGTTGACATTGCACTTCAAATGTTTTTGTGTACACCAGCAACAAATTGTTCTTTAGAAAGACTTTTTTCAACTCGCAGAAATTTGTATTTGATATAATGAGGCGTTTTTTATTGTTGCCCCCTGGTGTAAAATTCCTAAATAACCTGGGTATACTTGTGTTCAACGAAAGGAAGAGCATTGTTTACCTTTAGTTAGTGTAACGAAAAATTTATAGAAAAACAAAATATTAACAACATTCTTATAATGTATGTATGTATCATATGTAATCAAATGTTAAATTTGAGTATAATAAGCTTATACGTTGATTATTGACTATTATACTGTATTATATTATTAAATTATACACGCAGAAGTGCGTTCAGAAACTCAACTGTACAGGTAGTTAACTCGAGTAACCTAACGTCAATCAGGTTATCAGAGTTAACTTCGCGTTACCGTTCGGTTACGCTAAGTTGTTGACTCCGGGTTAACTCCCTAAATTAATACGTGGATTATTTTAATTCTACTAAATTCTCAACTCTAATCTCTTCTGCCCTAACTAATCATATTCGAACACAACTCAGTAGTTAGGCTGTTGTTGCTATCGAATAATATTATCCATGCTGTTTAACAGTTAAATTTTTCTGCTAACGACTTTGATGAAATCATTCCGTGAAACATACCGTTGCTATGACTTGTTCTCGTGAAACATAACTAAGTCCTCTGCACGGTGGCGTGCTCAAGCGTTTTCAAACTGTGGAGGGAGTTGTACAAAAAACTTGAACTAACAACAAATGAGTGCGTTGTCGATATCTACTCAAAAACAAATAATATTCATCGACGTTAAATTGAATACTTGTATATTACATTTGTATATCTGATCAAATAAAACAGTACAACGGATAACCAACGTTATCGGATTTTTTGCTATTATTTACGTAGGAGTTGTCTTTTCTGATGGTGTTTGTGTAAGTACAAGTTAATACTGTTTTTAACGATCTATATAGCATAAACGTGAAATACATAACAGTACATAAAAACTAAATCCCACCACGTATCGTTTGATTCTCTATTTTATAAGTTTTAACAATTCATTGTGAAAGGATTTATCTCTTCGGTCTCTGTAAATTTATCCTTAAGCGAGAAATAAATGTGAAGCTATGGTAGAGAGGGCGGGATATGATACCCAGTTCTCCAATTCGACGAGCATGACCCAGGTCTTATGTTATACAGTTATAGTCGCGTTGTAACAACGAGAAAAACGTGTACACATTTTTACCGACTTGTATTATAAATGAAATGTCGTGTCAATAATAAATTAAAAAACGTCACAAACATACCGTTATGCGTTCAAAAATTGATTATCCACCCGCTCTGCTGTCGAGCAGCGATTAGCATACTCGAATCAGTAGTATTGAAAAACGTGTTTAATAGAAAGAGAAGAAAAAAATCAGCCATCGTCGATCATTAGTTGTAGGGACTCTGGGTCATGCATGTTTGGTGCTCTGTTTTATAATTAAATTATTTTAAATCCGAACACTGCAATTGATTATTATCTTGCACTCGGAAAACAACTTTTCCGCACAGAGTTTATTTTTGATTTCCAAAAAACGAAGATTCTGTTGAAAACTGGCTGTTCACGTTTTACTTCTTCGTTGCCTTTTGCCATCTTCTTTACCGGGCTACATAGCTATTATATATTATATACCTACTCTTAAGCTATTTAAGCTTAAGCTTAAATTGTTCAAATTAGTTTGAAGTAATCTTAGAGAAAACAATTTCTTTATGTATTCTAAATAAAAATTAATATTTTGTAGGTTTTATGTTTCAATAATATGTATTTAAGAAATATGCGATTTATTCGTTTATTTAGTCACTATTAATTTTAAATAAAATATTTAATAAATAATATTTCATAACATTTATCATAATATTATCCGTGGTATGCTTAATAAAATGATATATACCATAACGACAGCAATTATTAAGCAGAGTAAAGAGAATGTTATTGGCTTATTAGCGAAATATATGTTGATATTTAAAAAATACAATCAAATTATTTTTCTCATGTAAGAGAGAACTTAAAAAAATATTTCAATTAAAATATTAAGAATCTGAATTCGAACAAGCGAAAGCCGTAGGTTTAAAATTTAAGTTGGCATATCCAAAAAATCACACTGTATATTATATATAAGCAGGTCCTTATTGAGGTCTGGTGGCGCCCCTGTCGAATCACTGTATTTGCGCCCCCCCCCCCCCCAATGGGAAAGTTGAATTTTTGTACAAAAAATCATTTGAGATATATAAATCATGTATACAATATAGTACACAAGGTAATAATTACTAATAAACGTTAATAACTATATGTACCTATTACTTTAAAATATCAAAAACAATTAAAATATAATTAATAAAATAAAAAAACAATATATATAAATAACTAGCTGTCCCGACACGGCGTTGCCCGCGTATTAGTTGGTTTTTTAGCATTTTCGTAGGCCATGTATTAGTGTTATTATGTATGAGAAAATTTAAAAGTAATAGGTAAAGTATCTAAAAGTTGAAATTAAGTACAAACCAAAATATATATTTTCTGAATTTACATTTTATTCATCTTATATTAAATTATTGTTTGTAATCAGTGACCTACTTACAAAAAATACTATATACATTAAAAACATACAAAAATAAATTAAATTATTAAAACTAAAAATTATCTAAGTACTACTTTGTGTACAACATTCCTGGTTAACCTGTCTTTCGCTAACACGAAGAGATTTGATGGTTTTCCTACACGTGAGCAGGCAACATATAGCTGTCCATGTGAGAAACATGTGTTTTCCAAATCCAAACCGCAAATAGACATTGTTTGGCCTTGAGATTTATTTATAGTCATCGCAAAAGCTAAACAAATCGGAAATTGGAGCCTTTTAAACGGTATTGAAGATTCCGACGCTATCAGTGGAATACGTGGCAACAGGACGATATCTCCTTTAAATTTTCCCGACAAAATTGTTGCTTCAAGAATATTTTCGGTCATTTTTTTTATGACTAAACGTGTACCGTTACATAATTGAGGTGGGTTTAAATTACGTAGAAGAATAATTGGTGAACCAATTTTCAATTGAAGGTTGTGTGGTGGCATTCCTGGCAAATCCAGAGAATTCAAAAATTCAGTTGGAAAGTTTACGATTTCGTTTTCATCAATAACTGTGTCGATTGATTTAAAAGACATCAAATCACCGGGCAAAATCTGTTGTACTCGTATATGGAAGTTAATTTCGTCACATCAACAATTCTTGCTGCCAAAATAGCACGATTACAGAGCCAATTGTGATCTAAATAATAATTCAATATATCCGGAAAGACACTCTCAATTAGTTCATTTCTCGTTTCAACAACAGTGCAGAAATATCTGGTAATTTTATGTATTGTGTATTTTGATGCAACTCAATTTCACCATTTCCAATATCTAGCAATTGTTTAGAAAATACTTGTGCTGTTGGATCATTTTGCAATTGTACTCGCATATTCATAGTCAGTCGAAGTGTCTCAACACTTGTCCATAAAAACGATTGTTTTAAGCATGCGTTGATCTCATCGGCAAAAGTAGAGTGAGGAATAACTGGTAAAGTCTGCCGGAAATCACCGGACAGTAGTAAAAGAGTACCACCGAAAAGTTTATGGTTGCCTTTCAAATCTTGCATAGTTCTATGAAATGCTTCAAGTGAATGTTTATGAGTCATAGTACACTCATCCCAAATTATTATTGCACTTTTTTGCAACACTGTAGCCATTCCGCTTTTTTTTTTAATGTTACACATTGCGTTTGGTTTGTTATGAATGTCTAATGGCAACTTCAATGCTGAATGTGCTGTTCGTCCACCATCTAACAAAGTTGCAGCAATGCCTGACGATGCAATTGCCAAAGCAATTTTCTGTTGGGAACGTGTCTTTGCAAGAATTAATGATATTAAGAATGTCTTACTTGTTCCACCTGGTGCGTCTAAGAAAAAAAACCCACCTTGGTCAGCATCAACGGTCAGCATTATCCGATTATAAATATTTTTTTGTTCGGCTGTCAGTAATGGCTCACTATTCACAATAATTGTAGCTAAGTCAACGTCATTGTACTGTTTTTATCGTTGCAAATCAGTGTTAACTAAGTCGGCCGCCGGGCGATCAGGTGATGACATTCCATAATGACTAAGTGGCAAATTTGAAATTAAAATACATAAATCTTCGATCAACACTAATGCTTCATTATACATCTCTGGTGTGAAATCTAAATTTGGACATTGATTTGTTCGTCTAATTCGATGCAGTATATCTTCAGTCATATAATTTTTATATTTTTCCCACAGAGTCGATGATTGTGTTGGAAAACATGTTGTCAAAATTATTGCAAATAGTTGACGAATATTATTCGGTGTAGATGTCAATGCTGCATCAGCAAGTGTCAAGTCCCAATGATTATCTGCTTCCAGTAGTTGCAACTCGCAACATGCATCTTGATATGTATTGAACACTCGATCGTTCACTGTTCGCAAATATTCGAAAGATGTTGGTCCGGGAATATTCACCAGCAATAAACGCAAAAAGAAGCATTCACGTTGTTTAGGATGTACAGTGTAAAGTCGTCCCAATGTCTTAGCTTTAAATATGCCTGGGATCGATGGATGTGGTTTTCCTTGTTTACGGGGCTCCCACTTTTTCCCTATTTTATTCCATGTAAAATAGCGTGGAACATCGGTATATAATAATGTTTTTGCAAATTGGCCGAATACATCAGATTTTTGACATAATGTAAAGAATTCAGTTAGTGTCGTTTCGGTGTCTCAAATGCTCTTTGGAGAATATTTTCTTCGGTAAAATATACTCGTTGACCGTTTTCAAGATGTACTGCAAGATGCTGGACAGAAGGTTCTCTTTCGTGTATTGGAAAACTGAAAATACGCCAGATAGCTTCGCTGCTGCTTATATATCTACCCATCTGGTATCTTGCTATTTCGTCATTTTTGTTTATATTTTGTATTTTAAATACGGCCAAATCACTTCCTTTATTAACATATTTACAAATGTACTTAATGGATTTGACGGAACTGCAAAACTCGACATTAATATGAGCCTTATACGCTTTTGACAGCAATGGTGAGTACGGAACTACCCACCGATTATCAATTTCAACTTCATTTATAGAATTCGACTTTCGAATTGTAAATGTGTGACCACCATGCTCAGGGTCTCTGCGGCGATACAATGGATAACCATCGATATCCGTAATAGTATCATTGGTAAAGGGTTTCGGGAAACGTTTCTAACACCTTCCTTCTTCCATGCATGATGATGCCATGTTAAAAGCACCACACGGTCCGTGGATCATGTGACTGGTAACAATATCGAACAATTCTGAGTCAGTTAGTGGATCCGGAATTTCGGCAGAAATTATTTGGTCAATTTCTTCTGGACGGATTTTATCTTCAAGCCAAACCAAAATATGAGAATGAGGCAAACCTCGCTTTTGCCACTCAATAGAATACAGCCAGCAACGTGTGTTACCAAAAACTGAATATTTTACGATTAAATTAATTAAAGATTTTAACTTTTGTTTAAACACACGTGTAACGATATCGTGACGATGTATTGATTGTTGGCCTGGTAATAACAAACTTTTTATTTCTTCCCAATTTGGATTACACGTAAATGTAACAAACAAATCAGGTCGACCGTAATGACGTACATAAGTCATCGCATCTTGTATGTATTCCTGCATGCTCCGTGGACTGCCGATGTAGCTTGAAGGTAAAATACATGCAGTTCCGATGTCATTGGCGTTTAAATTTTCATCGATGTTTCCGGTGATAGCATCTCGTAAATGGATGTATTCTTCTGATCTTAATTTAGCCTGGTTGTATCTAATATACCGTATAATTAAACTGTATAAATAAAAATAACAAACAAAACTCGAGACAGCGCGATTAACTCGAAATGACTGACTCGGTCAGATTGTCGCGCTTTATATTAACTGATGAATACGTCGTACCGAACTTCGCATTTTATACCTTTGAACATTTCTCGAAAATTCTATAACTTTCTTCATTACAACAATTGCAATGCAAAAAATAATATTGAGATAAAAACTATCCTATATATTTATTACAATAATTGCAATGCAAAAAATAATATTGAGATAAAAACCATTCTATATATTATGGAGATAATTCTCGGAACAATTCATATCTACACGCCGCCGACGATAAAACACACACAATAGATAAAAGGTCAGATTACAGGTAGCTATATAGATACTGTCGCGGTCGGTCACGGGAAAACCCGAAATACACCATGCAATTATACACATTTATTAAAAAGTTAATTAAAATATTTAAAATATTAAAAAATTTGAAAAAAAACTATCCTATATTTTAAGTTGGACCAAATTACACACGGTGTAAAAAATTTCATCAAAATCGGTCCAGTAGTTTCGGAGATTATCGCGAACATACATCGTGACACGAAATTTTTATATATATAGATTAGAAAATAAAATAATAATAAAAAAATATAAAAATAAAAATAATTAAAACAATCAATACATTATAAAAGCTTGAAATTTTCTCTAAATGTTTTTGTTTTACAATTGTATTGGATGATTTTAAATTTATTTATTGCAATATTACAATGGTACTTTTCTTGCTCTAATAGAGGCAAATTTATCTATGACATTATTAAATGAAATTGTTTTAACTACACATTTTTCATATTTCGTGAAAAATATTACATAAGTAGTATTGAAATTTGCGCCCCTGGCCCATGCCCTCTTGTCCTGCACTGAATACAGCCCTGTACATAAGTATAGGTATATATTATTGTGTTCGAGTTTCTATGTAATTATTTCTTATGTGAATTTTTGCGAGATTTTAGTCCGCTTCACTATTTGTCTTAGCTGGAAGAATAATAACTAATATATTATATTGTACATGGGACATCAAAGCCTGTATCTATATTATGGACGAGTATACGTAATCTTTTAACTGCTCTCATCCGCTATGTTTGATGTTCTTTTTTTTATGTTTTTCGAATTACCTGCAGTTTTCGCGTCGTTTGCGGTCTTTTCTTTCGAGCGTACTCTAAAAAATGCATGCATAATAATAAAATGTGTTTTCAATAAACATTTGTCTAATCGAAAAAGACATTCTCATATGGTTCTGTGACCATAAAAAATAAACAAATAACATAACATTATTTATTATACAGACCAAAGTACCGGACTCGTAAAATTCCATAAACGCGACTGCCGCGTATTATGAAATAACACATTCGTTGTATACACATTGTGTTGTATTGATGACATATTCTACGACCAGTGACCACCTACGTAGTACGGAGTGACAGTATATGTAGGTATATTTGGGAAAGGTGTAAAAAATTTTATTTTGAAAATATATTCGATACATCGAAAATCAAATCAAGGTCCACAACAGAGTCACGATCATAGTTTTAGAACCTTTGGCATTAAATATTATAATTTATGTTATATAAAATTATATACTATATATATACGAGTATATATGTATATTACATTGAATATATTAAATTAAATAAAGTCTGTTAAATTTTAATGTTAACACTAAATATTTTGGAAATATAAATGAGAATTTGTTTCAAATGTTGGATAAACAAGACATTGAACTAAACGTAACTGGATGAATAACACAAATAACAAAAATAAAATCATTTAACGTGCTATTTTATATCTTATAAATACATAATATATTATTACATATTATAATATATAATTCTAAGCATTACGTCACTATTTTAAAGTTACAACTCAAGGGCGGATACAAGAAGAGCATAGGGGCAATTATACTCTCTCCGTTCACAAAAAAGGGTATCGATTATTCCATTTGTAATTAATTGTGACTTCAATTTTGTTCATAAAAGTTATCGATAGATGGTCGTTATTGTATTTACTATGAACATTTAATTATTTTACTTACATTGTTTTCCATGATGAGTACACGAACATGTAAATCAAAAAAAAAAAAAAAAACAATATTGTTACACTATATTTATTACAATTCTAGACAAATATAGCTGTCGTTTGTCACTGTATTAAATCATGTTAAACTAATGTCGTGTCAACAATATAAGTTATCATAGATCCGTGTTGCGTTGTGAGTAACCATGATTTGTAGCACGCAATTCTAATAACGTTGGCCATAAACAAAAGGGTCTACCCTCAGACTCATCGAAAAGATTGCTCGAATGACGATTGCTAGTTTTCGATTATAAGTGTATACTCGGCCTGAATTAAAATATGTAAGTATAGATGGTCCATGTGTAAATAAGGCCAATTATTAAGTTTAATTATGTCTGGATAGATAGGGTTGTTTGTATCGTCAGTCGGTAATTCGTAAAAATAAAAATATTTATTTTATAACTGCAGGTAAATTGTGTGTGTTTAGATTAATATTTAATGTAACGATTAGCAGCGATCGCGATGTAAACGGGTATATTTGAGGTATTCGTGGTACATACAAATTGAATGCAATTATTGGTGTTTTTATTATTCGATACACCAACAAATAAAAATCAGCAGAAACGTGGTGAGTTGTCGAAGTCGTTCAGCCCCTTGTTTGCATAAAATGTAGATCATTAGCATTGGAGTTTTTTTTTTTGCTGTCCTTAAATTAAACGAAACCACCAGATCAACAACTCGTCTAGTTCCAAAGTTGAAGCTCTGGCAATCGAAAAACGTTCGCAAACTTAAGAATAAAATACAATTTATTACGATACAAGGTATACTGCGTAACGAAATTATTGGAATTCTCGATATCAGTATTTCCCAACCAAGGGGTAGAACACGATTTCTGGAGAGACGCAAGCAGAGTCATCTAGGAGAAAGTTTATTTTTTAAATTCAATTGAAATTGGAAAGGGAGGCGTGAGATTTTTTTTTTAATTTACAGGAGGATTGTGAAATGAAATAGGTTAGCAAACAACTCTGTAGCATATAGATGTAAAATGTCGATCACGCGTAAACC